GGCCTGGGACTCAAAGGCCAGCGGGCGGCCGCGGCCAGCTGACGCCTTCCCCGACGCCCGGACCTCGACACGCAGACAAAAATCAACAAAGCACCGCAGCTCCCGAGGAGAAAACACGCCACAGGCCCCGACCGGGGACTCTCCGACGCGCCTCAGCCCGGGCCGCAGGGCTGCGCGGACGGACTGGGGGAAGGGGGCGGGGAAGGGCCCCGCGCGGTGGCTCCCCGACCCTGGGGCCTCGCCTCCGCTGGGAGGCGGGGAAGTTGGGACCCCCACGCCAGAGATTGACCTTGGAGTCTCCGTTGCACAGAGCCATCGGGGCCGGGGCCACGGCGGTGGCGGCGAGAGTACGAGACGGGGCGGGAGGGTGCCGGAAGGGTCGGCGCCGTGGGCCGAGGCTGAGAGGGAGGCCTGATCGCGGAGCACACGGTGCAGAGAGAAGCCGACCGCCTACGAAGCGCCGAACCGAGCTGCAGCCACAGAGCGCGGGCCCCAGCGCCTTGGCAGAGGAGACCAGCAGCGCGCACGCTACCCCCGCCTCCTGCTTCCGCCCCAGCCGGCCACTGGGAGGAGCCAGAGCCCGCCCTGCTCGGCAGCGGAGCCGCAGATAACCCCGGAGCCACCGCCACGCCAGCCCGCCCTCGGGAGGAGTGGCCGCCGCTCCTAGGCCCGCCCCTGCAGGTCCACCCCCGGCCTAAGAAACCCCCGGGTCTCCGGCGGCCCGCCCTCGGGAGGAAGAGCCCGCGGTACCCAGCCCGGCTCCGCCGGTCACGCCTCTCACCGAGCAGCCCGCGCAGGGAAGAGGGGCTCGCGGCGCCCGGCCACACCCCCGCCGCTAAGGCCCGCCCCGAGAAACCCCGAAGCTGGGGCTGCTTGCTGTTGGCCTGTCTGCGGGCTATGACTGCTGCGCCAGGCTGGAGGCACCGAGGGGGCGGCTTCCCCAGAGCTGGGCCCCTGCGGCAACTCTTAGCCTGTGGCGGGGCCTTATCTCAGCCTGCGGGACATGGGAAAAGCCAGGCTGCTTTAACAGTTTTGTTGTCACATCTCAAGGGACGTGAATATGGGATTTGATTACTTAGGTACCTCAAAAGTTGTAGAGCGGGTGCGATATTTCCAAAAAGAAGGGAGTTTGGGACCAGCAATCTGGTGGGCAGCTGGGCCAGGGGACTGGTCGTGAAGCTCTATTTGCACAGCAAACAATGTTTTCATTTGGATTGTTCGTGGGGAAGGACTGCAGCCCCTCCGGCTACCTACACTTTGGCACCCGTCAAGATGAAGTATTACTGTGAATTTGGTTACCTCTATTTGGGGGCCTCAGTCGGGAATGGAGAGTAAATAACAGAACGACTTCCGGTTAACAAAGCCTTTCAGCAAATATTCAGTTATCATAACGCAGCCAGCATTTGGTGCGCTTATGCTATGGGTCAGGCTCTAGTTCAGATATTAGGCAGCCAGAGTGAGACAACCCTAACTTCCAGAAACCCTATTTATTCTAACTCCATGAAAGGAGTGAAGTAGTATTGACGTTCTTATCCATTTTTTACAAATGAGGAAATTAAGGCTCAGTGAAATAATGTGCCTCTAGGGCTACCCAGTCTGGGAAAGAATAGACAGTTCATTAGTAAAATAGGGCCTGGGACTCAAAGTGTTTCACTTACCCATACCTTTTTTTGAGCTGAAAAATTAATACTTGAACTTTCCACAGCCATGGATACTGGATTCTCTTGGTAGGTCTGTGTGAACAATCCAGGGAGGAGCGTAGTAACCAATAGGAGAGCCTCAATTTGCATAAACATTCCCTAGTGATGGAATGGAATGATATATGATGTACTGGCCTTAAGGATTGGCTAAGTCCCATCTATATTAGATAGTGCCCAGTTTAAATATATTCTACTGGTCACTTGTATTTATGCCTAAGAGGGATCCTTATATTGTAAGTTCCTTTTCAGCTGTTGACTCTCTTGACCCCTCCCTCTTTCTGGAAGCTGAATTTCCCTTACAATTCACCATAGGATGTCTTTTCATCTATGATTGCTTTTGGTTGCTTTGGCTTGTTCATTTTTCCTATAACTATCCTTTAAGAGTTTTAGGTGTTGGGTTTCTTCAGTTCCATCCCTAACGCTCTTCTGGGGAATTTTTTCAAAAATAGATACTTGTTTCAAAAGTACCCTTAATAGGCTCTATGTCCTGACAGCTCTCTTCTGAGCTCCAGATCCATATAACTATGCATATACCCAATTATATGTTCAATGTCATGTTGGACCTCAAACTCAACATGTCCAAAACATTTTCTCCTAAGCTTCTGTGCCCAATCTCATTGGCACTATGATATTAGGGGAAAACATTCAGCCTTCCACCAATAACCTAAATGTTTTTCATAGACACCTTTTTTTTTTTTTTCCTTTTTGTCTTTTTTTGTGACCGGCAACGGGATCGCAACCCTCGGTGTCACACCCGCACCGCACTCATCCAGTGAGAGACCGGTCTCTATATGGGATCCGAACCCTCCGCAGGAGGGCCGCCACGCTCCCAAGCGCTGCACTCAACCGAGTGCGCCACCAGGCCGGCCCCCATAGACACCTTTTAAAAGTTGAGGAAATTCCTTTCTATTCCTGTTTTGCTGAGAGTTTTATCAAATGCTTTTTCTGAGGCTATTGAGATGACAGTGTCATCTTTTTTCAGTTTGTTAATGTGGTAATTTATTGATTAATTGTTGAATGCTAAACCAGCCTTGCATTCTTGGGATAACCTCAAGTAACCATGATGTATGTTCCTTTTTATATATTGAATTCAATTTGCTAAAATTTTGGTTTTGAATTTTGGCATCCTATGTTCATGAGTATTGCTTTGTAATTTTCTTGTTCTGTCTTTGACTGGTTTTGGTATCAGGGTAATGCTGCCCTCAGAGAATAAATTGAGAACTTATGTAGAATTGTTATTACTTCCAGAAGTATTTGTATAGAAGTGGTTTTATTTCTTTAAATATTTGGTAGAATTTACCAGTGAGGTTATCTTGTCCTGGAGTTTTCTTTATGTTAAAGTTTTTGAGTTCCATTTTTGAAAATAAATATAGGGCTATTCAGGTTATCTATTTTTTCTTCAGTGAGATTTGGCTGTTTGTCTTTTAAGGAATTTGTCCGTTTCACCTATGTTTTTAAATTCATAGGCATAAAGTTGTTCATAATATTCCTTTATCATTCTTTTAATATATAGAATCTGAAGTGATGTAAACTTTCTCATTTATGATATTGGTCATTTCTGTTTTCTCTCTATTCTTTCTCAGTCTGGCTATACATTTACCAATTTTATTGATGTTCTCAAAGAATAAGCTTTTAGTTTCATTTATTTTCTATATTTTTCTGCTTTCTTTTTCATTTATTTCCACTTTGATCTTTATTATTTCCTTTCTTCTTTGTGCTTAATTTGCTCTTCTTTTTAAGTTAGAATCTGATATCATTGACTTGAGACCTTTCTTCTGTTCTAATACAGGTACTTACCTCTATAAATTTCCCTCTACTCCTTTAGCAACATCCCACAAATTCTGATATATTTTCATTTTCATTGAGTTCAAAATAGTGTCTGATTTCCCACTTGATTTCTTCTTTGACCCATGGGTTACCTAAAAGCATGATATTTAGTTTCTAAATATTGTATGGTTAGGTAAGTTCATAACTAAAGCCAAAATGTTTCATTATTTTAGTTACACTAACTTTTCCAATTGTATTGTCAGGTTAGGGCTCACAGACTCTTCAAACCCATTGTAAAGACAGGGTCACAGACCCCTCATATGCCTGGCTGGGTCATCAGACCCCTCACACACAGGTCAACGAGCTAGGTAATTCAGGGCTGGCCCGGTGGCGCACTCGGTAGAGTGCGGCGCTTGGGAGCGTGGCAGCGCTCCCACCAAGGGTTCGGATCCCATGTAGAGACTGGTCTGCTCACTGGTTGAGCGCGGTGCGGGCGCGACACCGAGGGTTGCGATCCCGTTACCGGTCACGAAAAAAGACAAAAAGGGAAAAAAAAAAAAAAATAAGAATAGTGCCCTGCACACAATAAGTGCTATATTAGAGTTAGCTATTATATTACTGTTGTTACTGTGATCTACAAAACTCCTACTCTCTTTGAGACCCAGCTGAAATGTTATCTTCTTTAATGAAGCTTTCTCTGATTCTCTCTAAGCACATGGTTGTTCCTTCATTCAGTCCTTTCCCACACTTCCAGCAGACAACACGGATGCCGCAGCCGCCGCCGCCACCTCCTCTCCATGACCCCCCCACCCAGAGGCATGGGGGGGCACTGTGGATCAGAGCCACTTGTCCTTTATACTTAAGTCTGATAACCCAGGACACCTGGGTGCGAGTCAGACAGCCCAGGAACACTTGGGCACACATGTGCAATTATATTAGACAATAACCAAGGAACACCTGGGTGCACGTGTAATTTACATCAAATGCTCAGCAAGATTCTGAATATGAGGGGCCCTGACCATTTTCCTGTATTTTACCTACAAAGGCCCTCTAAGCAGTATTACCCTGGTAAAAACAAGCAAACACAGCACCCAGATACTGATTTCTAAATACCATTCTCCAGTAAGAGGAACCAGGACTTCTTGGAGAAATGGCTGATTTCAGGACCAAGGCAACGACAAGAGGACAAGGAACATCTTGTACTAGGAAGTAAAGAAGTGCTCAAGGACTGAAGGAGACATGTCAGAAGGACACAGAAGTTAGCTTGAAAGAGCTTTTACTGGTCAAATCTGGGACAGTATTTTTTTTTTCCTTTTTGTCTTTTTATCGTGACCAGTAACGGGATCGCAACCCTCAGTGTCACGCCCGCACTGCGCTCAACCAGTGAGCGGACCGGTCTCTATATGGGATCCGAACCCTCTGCGGGAGCGCCGCCGCGCTCCCAAGCGCCGCGCTCTACAGAGTGCGCCACCAGGCCGACCCTGGGACAGTATTTTGAAATAAACAGTGATAGTAAACATTGTATACACTGAATCAATTAGGAGTCCATCAGTCTATTCCAATATAAATAAATGAATGATTAAATGGTGAGAAGAAAAAGGTTTCTTATAATGGAATGTCAACTAATAAAGATATAAGGAATAATTAAATTAGAAAATCATTTTGCAACCATCATAAAATAATAAATTCAGTCAAGAAACAATGAATAGTAAAATCAGTGGGTGAAAGATGGATAAGGAACAGGTTTTATTTATATTGTCTCAAAGTATCTCCCCACAAAATTATTATATAAGAAAAAAATAACTTTACAGTGCAGAAACCTGAAGACACCACCTTACTCAAGTGATGAAAGTTAACATCACCAGTGATGTAATAAATCAATATCACCTGTCACCTGTTAGATGCAGTGAGATAAGCCAGTGTTATTTTAGTGGTGTCCTGCGTAAAATGCATAACCTGAATCTAATCTCGAATAAACAGAGAAACCGAAATGGAGGCACATTCCACAAAATAACTGGTCTATAATTGTTCCAGTTGTCTATTGCTATGGAACAAGCACTCCAAAACGTAGTGGCTTAAAACAACCACCTGTTCATTTTGGTGCAATTTGGACAGGGTTCAGCTAGGGCAACTTTTCTCTGCCCTATTGTGTCAGCTGGTACAGCCCCAA